AACTGCAAAGAAGAAAAAAAAAAGAAAATATAAAATATAAAATATGAGATAAGGAATCAGAAATAGATGGAATATGGAAGGAGGGAAAAGGATATGACAAATGAGAATGAAAAAAAGCTGAGAAAGATAAAACAATATAGAGAGAAAATCGGCTATTAATTTGAGAATTAGCAGATTCAACGAATATTAAATGTGAAATATGGAACACACACCAAACTCTTCCACTTCTCCATTTCTCTTCATGAAATCAAGCTTTAAATAGCATCAAAGACGTGGCTGCAGCTTAATAAATGCAGAACTCTGTATAAGTTGCTCATTTGAGTCCTTTGTCTTGATGCTCTAACTATGATTTCAATAGATTAAATTGCTTTAGAGTAAGCTCAAGCAACTCATTATGCATAGACCCAAACAAATACACTGACCGAAAGAGTATGAATATTAGCCGAAACGAAATCAGAGTTGATTTAAGAAATAAATACAATTTAAAGTAAACATAATGATAGTAATAGAAATAATGGTAATAGTTATTTATTTTACTATGCGAATATCCATAATTTTCCTATCGACTTCCAATTGAAATTTAGTACAATTTTCTGTCAGTGTAATCAATATTATATTGCAATTTACTATTTAATTGTTTGTGGGTTACTTGTGGTAAGGGAATGGATCTAAGGGAAGAGTGCATTGGGATTTCACGAATCGAACTGCATTTCCAATCAATCGACGAGGGCGAACATCAAATGCAGTCAATTCAAAGGGCAAGAGCAGGAGCAAGAAGCAGCAGAGGCAGAAGCAGAAGCAGAAGCAGAAGCAGAAGCAGAAGCAGAGGCACAAGCTGAAGCTGAAGCGAAAGCAACTCAATCCGGAACCAAGAAATTCATGTGAAACGCCATTTTAGCAGCCAACGCGCAATTGCGGTTACTCTTTGAGTGTATGTGTGTGTGTATATAGGTGAGCGTATGTGTGTGTGTGGGTAGATGTCTTCTTGTGTGTGCTTGCGCTTTGTTTTGTTGGCCACGATTCCGTTGTTGTTGTTGTTGTTGCTTCCGCTATTATGCGCCATCAATGAGCATTGTTTGCCATGGACCGAAGCTCAAATTGCCTCAACTGTAAAAGGTGTGCATGTGTGTGTATAAGTGTGCATGTGTGCGTGTGTGTAAGCTAATTATTTAGCTGGCTGCGTTTATTATGCGATTTGCCATGCGTTGCGCCACGTAGCAGAACTTTATGCCAAATTAAACATTGGGTAAACTGTTTAGGCAAAGAAATAAGATCCTTGACTTATAAGCTGCTTATGTTAGGCATAAGATTCGCTATAAAGTGGAATTTTAATAGAAGCAACCCGAGAAGTTAGAAATGAAAATTCTAATAGAAATTCTTGATATCTAAGACTGTTGAGAATATAATACGAATTTTGTCTAGCTAAAGCTAAAATGTTTATTGACTATAGTTGTGTGAGAATATTTGCGTAGTAAATAAATTTACTTGCATATATTTGTATACATTTTAGTGAATAACATACAAATAAAATGAAAATAAATTTGCTTGTATATATTTGATTAAATTTTAGAGTATGAAATTAGGAAAAATAAATAAGGAGTATATTTCATTTGAATATAAATTTTATTGTGTGTGTATATTTAAATTTTTGGGTATTAATATTAAATAAAATAAGAAATTAAATATCCTTGTTAATAATAAAATATACAAAGTATAAAATCTATATTAATGAAGAAGGTAGAACTAGGTTTGTTATACATAGATAAAAAAAAAAAAAGTTTCAGCTGAATAAATAAATAGACTGAATTGAGTATTTTATACATGAAGTCATGGATCTGAATTGTTTGATATGTTTATTTATATAAACAACAACAGTCCTGCAGTACAATCTTCAATAGTTGTTGCTATTGACTGCTGGCTCCTCTTCTTGATATTTGCCTTGAGTCAGTATAGAGTTAAGAGTAACAAAGAATTTCATATTGACAGAAAATAATTATATGTATTCATTTTCACCTGCTTCCAGGTGAATCCCTCGCACGTGCGACACCATAAAATACTGCGGGACACGCGCAACGAGATGGAGACCTCCATAGTGGGCATACACTTCGTGGTGACGGATCAGCACTTCGAAAACGGTAAATTGAAGGTAATTAAAGCGAGCATATTGATGTGCGAGTTGAGAATTGTATTTAACAATAAAAACATTTATCAATAGCTGCGCTGCAGTGCCCAGCTGCATGATATCTACTGGAAGACGACGGAGAAGACCATATTGGAGGCGGATCCGTTTGGCAAATATGGTGGCAACGGTGCCAGCGGGAATCGCGTGAGTGCCGATGAGATATATGACCAGTATACGCTGCACGAGGACGAGCAGTTCCACAACAAGAAGAACAGCTACCTGACCCAGCTGCAGGGTAAGTTCTTCTTTTAGTTTCCTTTCTTTTTCTCTTTTTTTTTTTCGGTCATTCAGTCAGCCAATTAGCACACACATGCACCTAGACAACAACATGCAACAGCAACAACAACTACATCCACATCTCCAACAATCACAACAACAAGAACAACAACAAAAGCAAAAGAGTACATGGCCTGCATTTCTCTATTTCTCGCTAGACTTTCTCTTTCATTTTGTACCCTCAGGCGAAGAAGATGACGGAGCGGATGGTTTAGAAGATGGCGGCGCCGCCTGGCGTGGCGTTAGCTCCGCCTCCTCCGGCTCAACGTTGTCGCTGGCGCCGAGTGGCCTGGCTGCCACGCTGCTGGCGCTGCTCAGCTGGTCGCTGGCCAGGCAATTAGTGTCGCAGCTGGCGCCGATTACAAAGCACAGGCCGATGCCGATGCGGGCGTTGCAGCAGGACCGGCAGAGCCAGAGCAAAGGCCTGCGGGCGCATTGCTGCACGGACAGCAGCAGCAGCAGCAGCAACAGCAACAACAAAGGATGCAGCAAAGGATGCAGCAGATGCATCAGGCAATTAACATGATTCAATTGTCACGCAACTCTTGTGCCACACTTCAGGGAGGAACAGCGGAAGGAGACAATGCAGCAGCAGCGGCAGCAGCAGCGGCAGCAGGCAGCAAAGTAGGCTTCAGCCCTAGGCAACAGCAAGCAACTGCTAAATGTATCTAAAATATTTAATCCTCAACACAAACAGACAACAGTTTCAGCTAGCTCAAACAAACGAAAAGTCATTTCGAAGGCATTTAAAATACACACACACACACACAAACACAAAGGCAAAAAGCAAATAAAAAAGGTAAATTTTCCAAAGCAACAGCAACTACAACCTATCGCTAGGTTTCCTCAAATACAAACTCATTTGTTTCGTTTGCCGAGCCGAGCCAATAAAATGGAACCACTTGCGAACTGGTTCACTCTCTATGATTTTTACACTATGAAATCGAAAAGAAAAAACTTATACGAAAATAAAAACCTAAAAAGAGCAACAAAAAAAAAATGAAAACGAGTTGAAAAAATGTTGTGCTAAGCTTTTCACTTTGTTTCTCTACAATTAAAT